TGCTGAGGAACCTATTTCTCTGCAAGGTATAGATTTTGATCTCATAGATCTGGTATTTGCATCTGTGACAGCATATTCTGCTTCTTGCCTCCCTTTCCTTAGAACAGCTTTTTTGTAACAATAAAATAATAAAAAACCCAAATGTTAGGAAAAATGCCAAAACCTTTATCAATTTTACCAAAAGGCTGTTTCACTCTTGTTAAAATCACACTATCCAAATTTTGTGGGCTTTTTTTCAAACTATTCAAACAAAGCTTGAGAGGAAATTGCATGCATTCAGAGTCCACAGCATTTTATTTCTGTTTGAGTGAAGATAACCTGCTCAGAATATTCTTCAGGCCATTTGTATCCAATGGCAATGAGGTTAAAGGGTAGATCATATCAATAATGACAGCAGCTAACACAGTATCTCTTGGTTTTAAACTTTCAGAACTATAATCATACCTGTGGTAATAAGGAGACAGGGAACCTCCCATGCTTCTTCAAGTGGTATTTCTCTTCCACTCAGTGAATGTGTTTGATCATCACTTCTGTCATGGAGTTGTCCAAGTCCAAAGCTACGTTACAACTGCTGTCAAGTAAACTGGAACATACTCCTACAATGAGTGCTACTTGAGAGTCGTGAATGATAGAAAACATAATTAGGCAATTATTTGAATTTGAAGAAGCAGGAAGTTACATACTATCATTAGTTCTTTGTTGTCAATATATGTAGTTATTATGCAGTCAGTATATGTAGACTCTCTAGTAAAAGGACAGAAGTACAACCACTACAATAATGAAATGCATCAGTATTTTAATATATACTACATGTAACTATTTGGTAGATAGCACTGCATGACCATCTTCCTTTTTTAATAAAAGACTTGTCTGTAGGGGATTTTTAACGATGAAGAGGCTCGTGGATGTTTGGATTACCTCATAGTTAGCTCTCTCTTTTGAGAATCAAGGACATTCGTAATGTAGGAATTTTCTCAGCATATAGTGCTTATTAAAAGAAATGAGTTGCAAAGCACATTTGGAACAGACATCTTGCATATTTCTTTTCCAGCATGTTTTCTGATAGTATAGAAGTTTATCACATGCTTGTCAAACAAAAAGCACTCTTTTCTGCATGATCCTGACCAGTATCCCTTTAATTACTCTAAGTGCAGAGGATATATCAAGCTAGGGTGTTTATAAACTTACTCTGATCAGGTAGGAGCAAATAAGAGGAGGGATATGTTTGCAGTATGTTTGTCTGCTATGCAGAACATGGTAAAAATGTACTTAGGAACTGGCTGCTATTTTTAAAAGGTAGAGTAAGTTTAGAGTTTGATCTACAGAATGACCTCCTTTTAAAAATGAGCCCTTAGTAGAGGACAGGTTTCAATCTACAACATTAAAGATAAGCACCAGAGTTTTTAGCGTTTCTGAGATAATGAGGTGAGCATTAGTAAAATACAGTATCCTTACAAAAGCCCTAATTAAATCTTAGTTTAAAACAAAAAAGCTTTACAATGAGGAGAAATTTACAAAACTTGTTGGTATGTATGTAATATGGGCCTCAGAAAAGCAATCCTTCATTTTAGAATCCCCAGTCCAGGCTTTTAGGCGTCATCTGTTCCCTATTGATTCCAAACTAATGTCTTCACTATGCCAGAAATATAAAAGCCTTTTTGCCTAAATCTATCCTTAAAACCAGATACCTTTAAGAATTCATGTCTGAGATAATATAAAAATACTTCCCAGGCACATTTGTTTAAAAAAAAAAAAAAAAAAAGAAAAAAAATTGTTAATTATTTTTAAACTTTGATATCTGAACATACTTTGTTCATTCTTCCACAGTTTTGTTTTTTGAAGCTTTATCTGAAGCTTAAACTACTACACATTTTTGGGCATAGTTCTGGAGCAATTTTATTTTTACCCTTTCAATTTACATTAGATGTATTTCAATTTTGTTTTACTGTGACTGTGGATAGCACTGGAAGTGGCATTGCATCATTTAACTTCTCAGTATTTGTATGAGTGCAATCCCCACTTTTAATAGTTTGTAAACTCTTTGATGTGGTTTCCTTTGATTTCTTCTACAGACTGAAGGAGAGCAGCATGCCTTACTACAAGGTTCTTGTTTGGCGTATTTCTATGCACAGCTCTGCATTTTCCTCCAGCTCTATTATTTCACTTAACATACATTAATGCTTAAAAAAAGCCAAACTCTTAAGAAATACTGGGGAAAAAAATTAGTATATTAACAACTCAGTTCAATTAGATTATTCTTAGCACTATATTTTTTTTCATTCTGCTCCAAACTTTGTGATGGTAGCTTTTCAGTCTGGGGAAAAAAATCATTGCCCAAGACATTTACATTCTTAATTATCGAGATCTACCATGGGCTTATCCAAAATTAAGTATGTATACAGAGTGATATTTATAGACCATGATTTCATTGGCAGACATTTTAGATTGTATGTTTGACTCCGAATTATTCTTCTAATGCTTGTCAGGTCAGAAAACTGTTGTTCAGAGCTTTGGAAGCAATTGGTCATGTTAACACATTTTTACTTCTCTTCCGCTACATATTTAGCTTTTCTATCATATGGACACAATGTGATCTTACCTTTTTTTTTTTTTAAAGCAATCTGCTTCATAAATGGCTAAATGTGACTATAGTTGATTTAAGAATTTTTCAAAACCATGATTATTAGCTATATTAAACACATCACTCTTTCTGTTCTTCTGTATTGAACATATGTCAGATTGTGTATTGTAGAGGTGAGTGCCCTTAGTACTTTGGGATTAAAAGTCACATGTGAAAAGCTTTATTCTTGGAAAGCATCTTTGTTTCTCATCTTTTCTCACTCTGGCAAAAACAGACATATTCAGATTTTGTAGGCAATTTGGGTGATCCTTGTGCAAATACTCTAGAAAATATCAGCTGCTGTTTCTGTGTCATTTGTATATGAAATTACTGTATTTGGTTGCATTAGCATTAATAACAACATTATATACCATTTACATATGAATGTGCTGAAGGGAAGGTGGTATGTGGAAAAGGTTATCAGGGTCTTTGGATTAAAACCCTCTTTTCACACAATGTCATTACAATGTATCTATGTCTTGCACCTGAATATTGATTGCTTCATTCTTAAGTGCAGATTTGGTAATGATTTTCTTTGCTTATAACCTTAATTTTTCTCCTGCTTAAATGCTTATGGAAAGGATTAATGATGTTAGATGATGTAGACAATTAACTTAATGAGGTTTATCTGGGTGGATGGGAAGTATGTCAGTTCGCAGAGATATTTTGAATGATTGCTAGATCTGGGATGTGATATCTGAAAAGAATAGTTAGGCTTCCTTGGATGATTCTGTTCAAGGAGTGTCATAAATGTTTGACAGAATACCCGCACAGAAGAGCAAGCAATACAGGGGAAGAATTTTGTTCTGGACTGCAAACTTTTAATATCTTCAGGTGTACAGAAAGCTGTTAGCCAGCTTTTTTTTAAACTTAAGTTTAAAAAAAAAAAAAGCTTCCTAACACATTTGGTGAGGCCTTTTTTAGTCTATTCCTAGATAAAAACTGGATGCGCTTAAAAAAAAAAAAGGTGAAACTGTTGGAATACTACTGAGAGCCCTTGGGATGAAATAATTTTGAAGAGAAGAAATTAGGTGAGATTAATTTGCTTGAAAATCATGAAAAGGCTAAAAATCCTGAAACAAATATAGTAATAAGGTATGCTACCAACCCTTTTTTAATTTTTTTTTTAATTTTTTTTTTATTTTAATATTATCTCCTGTTTTACAGAATTCTGAATGTCAGTTGAATGAAGAAATTATGGATCACTCTAGGAAGTTGTTTCCCTCTGTGATAAAATACATTGTAGATATGCTTATATGGGAAGAAGAGAAGGAACTGCCTCCGGAGCTCACAATTAGGTAGGGAGTATTTCCAACTTTCTCTTCAAGGCATTAGCAACTTTGATAATAATTTTGCCTGCGGTATTCTTACACTCATGCAAACATATTAGTGCCAAAATTCTGTAAGCAGCACTGTAACGTTTTTGACCTACAGTTATACAGAGAAAAGCTTTTGATACTTCATGGGAAAAGTAGTGTGTGACTGCGCTCCATCAGTTGCCGAGGGGAGCTGCTCTGGAGCTCCAGCTTGATCCACAGCAGACTGGCAGATCTTGGTGCACAGGGGCTTTTCCTGAGGCAGGGAAACACCAGGGCAGCAGAGAGCCCTGCCAGGAGCCGGCAGCTCTTGTGGGAGATGCTGATGAGGCTTGGGTGTTGCCAGAGCAACCATGACCACCCCCACACCATAAGAAGTAGTCTGGGGAGCACTAGTGACCAGGAGCGCTGCCAACAGAGTGGACAAACAGAGTGTGGCATGGCAGTTTGCATGATGGGGTGCGCAGGAAGGGTGTAGTCACCCTACCAGCTCAAGAGGTGAAGTTCAATTGGTGGTCATCACCCTCTCAGAAGGAGCTTAGCTATGGTATCTACGTGGCAGAAAGCTATGTCCTCTGCACTTGCCAGAATGGATATGGCAACCCAGATAGATGGTACCCTGCAAAAATATGTAGTCACCCAGGTCTCAGGCTGCAGAGAGTGCCAGAGCCTTTCACTGGTGACAGATGACAGTAGTCAGAACAGCTGTGTAAGGTGTGACGAGGTGGACGATCTGCTCAGCCTAGTGGCAGAGCTACAAGAAGTAGAAAGGTTAAGGAGCATCAGGGAGTCTGAGAAAGAGATAGACTGGTGGAAGCATGCTCTGCCCTCCCTAAGACAGAAACAGGAACAGCTACCAGAAAAAACCCAAGATCAAGGGGATCCTGTATCCTTCCCCCATCAGGCTGAAGGTAGTAGCTTAAAGGAAAGGAGTAAATGGAGGCAAGTCCACACTTGGGGTGGCAGGTGAACTCCCTCCTTGCCCACCTTGCCTTCCTAGGTGCCTCTGTACGATAGGTGTGAGGCCGTGGATGTGGAAGGCCAGTCAATGGATGATGTGGATGATGGTCCCATCTACACCAGAGGTGTTGCCAAGGTCAGAAAGACCTACCCCCTTTATCACAACCACCTCCACAAGGAAGAAAAGGTGGGTTATAGTTGTAGGCAACTCCCTTCTGAGGAGAACAGAGGGTCCAATATGCTGGACAGACCCTCCTCTTAAGGAAGCCTGCTGCCTCCCTGGGGCCCGGGTTAAGGACATCACTAGGAAACTTCCTAGCCTGGTATGGCCCTCAGACTGTTACCCATTACTGCTCTTCAATGTGGGTGGTGATGAAGCCACAATGTGTAGTCCAAGGACGATCAAAAGAGACTTCAGGGCCGTGGGACGGTTGGTAAGGGAATCTGGAGCACAGGTTATTTTTTCCTCTCTCCTTCCAGTTGCAGGCAGCGACATTGGAAGAAACAGATGGGCCCAGTCTATTAATACATGGCTCCGTGGTTGGTGTCACTGCCACAATTTTAGGTTTTTTGATAGTGGGATGGCCTACACAGCATCAGGCTTGCTGGCGTCAGGTGGAATTCACCTTTCTCAAAGGGGGAAAGAGGGTCTTTGCTTAGGAGCTAGTGGGGCTTGCTGACAGAGCTTTAAACTAGACTTGAAAGGAGAGGGGAGTATCATCAGGCTTGCCTGTGACAAGCTGTGGTCATACCAAGGTTAGAGGGACAGGGTGCTAGCGACGGCCCTCAGTCTGTTGCTCTGAGATGTGCTGGCTACACTGCAGCACACCTGAAGTCTTACGGAGGTGAGCCAGGGGCTCCTGAGGTAATAGGAGCCAATAGGGAAACACCAGTGAAATACCTCAAAGGAATTAAGGGGTGTTCCTCTAAGAAGGTGACATGACCAACAGCCCAGCTGAAGTGCCTCTACACTAGTGCATGCAGCATGGACAACAAACAGGAGGAGTTGGAAGCCAGTGTGCTGCTAGAAAGCTACGACCTAGTTGTCATTACTGAAACTTGATGGCATGAACCCCATGACTGGAGTGTGGCTATCGATGGCTACAGGCCATTGAGAAAGGACACGTGAGGAAGGAGGGGTGGAAGTGTTGCCCTCCACATCAAGAAGTGGGTAGAGTATGAAGAGCTGTCTCTGAAGAATAGCCACGAGCAGGTTGAAAGCTTATGGGTAAGAATCAGAGACCAAGGCAACAAAGGGATCCTTGTGGTTGGTGTCCACTATGGGCTGTCCAGATCAAGGGGAGCCTATGGATGAAGCCCTTCTTACTCCAGCTACAGGAGGCATTGCGCTCACAGGCTTTTGTTCTGCTGGGGAACTTCAACCACCCTGACATCTGCTGGAAAAGTAGCATGGCGAGCTATAGGCAATCCAGGAGACTCCTGGAATGCATTGAGGATAACTTCTTAAGCTAGGTAATAGACAGCCCTACCAGAGGGGATGAGATACTGGACCTGTTCGTCACCAACACAAGTGAGCTAATCCGTGACATCAAGATTGGAGGCAGCCTGGACTGCAGTGATCATGCACTGGTGGAGTTTGCAGTCCTAAGCAATATGGGTTAGGCGAAGATTAAGGTCAGGACCCTGAATTTTAGAAAAGCAAACTTCCAGCTCTTCAAGAAGTTAGTCAGTAGGACCCCCTGGGAAACTGCCCTCAGGGACAAGGGAGCAGAACAGGGCTGGCAGATTTTTAAGGACACTTTCCAGAGTGTAAGAGCTCTCAATTCCCATGTATAAGAAATCATGAAAGGAAGGCAAGAGATGGGCATGGATGAGTTGAGACCTGCTGGTCAAACTAAAGGGCAAGAAGGAAATGCACAGGGAGTGAAAAGTAGGGACAGGTATCCTGGGAGGAGTATAGAGATGCTGCCCAGTTGTGTAGGGATGGGGTCAGGAAGGCACAAGGCATGGCTTGAGCTGAACTTGGCAAGGAATGCCAAGAATAATAAGAAGGATTTCTACAGGTATGTCAGCCAGAAAAGGAAGGTCAAAGAAAGTATACCCATCCAGTGAGCAAGACTGGCAAACTGGTAACAACAGGTGAAGAGAGGACTGAGGTACTCAACAACTTTTTTGCCTCAGTCTTCACTGGCAATCTCTTTTCCCACACCTCTTGAGTGGATGGACTGCAAGATGGGGACTGGGGGAGCAAAGTCCCTCCCACTGTAAGAGATCAGATTTGTGATCACCTGAGGAACCTGAACATAAGTCTATGGGATCTGATGAGATGCATCCCAGAGTCCTGAGGGAATTGGCTGACATAGTTGCCAAGCCACTCTCCATGATATTTGAAAAGTCATGGCAGTCAGGTGAAGTCCCTGGTGACTGGAAAAAAGGGAAACATCACACCCGTTTTTAAAAAGGTAGAAAGGAGTACCCTGGGAACTACTGACCTGTCAGCCTCACCTCTGTGCCTGGGAAGATCATGGAATAGACCCTCCTAGAAGCTATGCTAAAGCACACAGAAGACAGGGAGGTGATTTGAGACAGCCAGCATGGCTTTACCAAGGGCAAGTCCTGCCTGACAAACCTAGTGACCTTCTGTGATGGAGTGACTACACCAGTGGACAAGGGAAGAGCTACAGATGTTGTCTATCTGGACTTCTGTAAGGCCTTTGACACGATGCCCTACAACATACTTCTCTAATTTGGAGAGATCTGGATTTCATGGGTGGACTGTTTGGTGAATGAGGAATTGGTTGGATGGTCACATCCAGAGGGTGGTGGTATCGATACAGGCTGGGGGATGAAGGGATTGAGAGCAGCCCTGCCAAGAAGGACTTGGGGGTACTGGTGGCCAAAAAGCTGGACATGAGCCAACAATGTGCTCTTGCAGCTGAGAAGGCCAACTGAATCCTGGGCTGCATCCAAAGAAGCGTGGCCAGCAGGTCGAGGGAGGTGATTCTGCCCCTCTGCTCTGCTCTGGCGAGACCCCACCTGGAGTCCCGTGTCCAGCTCTGGAGCCCTCAGCACAGGAAACACATGGACCTGTTGGAGTGGTCCAGAGGAGGGCCACCAAAATGATCCGAGGGCTGGAGCACCTCTCCTATGAGGCCAGGCTGAGAGAGTTGGGGTTGTTCAGCCTGGAGAAGAGAAGGCTGCGGGAAGACCTTATTGCAGCCTTTCAGTATTTAAAGGGGGCCTATAAGGAAGACGCGGACAAACTTTTTAGTAGGGCCTGTTTTGATAGGACAAGGGGTAATGGTTTTAAACTCAGAGGGTGGATTTAGACTAGATGTAAGGAAGACATTTTTCACAATGAGGGTGGTGAAGTACTGGAACAGGTTGCCCAGAGAGGCAGTGGAGGCCCCATCCCTGGCAACATTCAAGGTCAGGTTGGATGGGGCTCTGAGCAACCTCATGGAGTTAAAGCTGCGCCTGCTCGGTGCAGGGGGGTTGGGCTAGATGACCTCTAAAGGTCCCTTCCAACCCAAATTATTCTATGATTCTATGAAAATGGAGACTGTTGTGTGTCACTTTAAAAAGACAAACGGGATCATAAAACAGCAGACAGAGGAAATAATAATGGAATAATCAAGTAACTTAAAAACTCTTTTGTACTTGGTACATGGTTTCTGTGGCTTTTTCTGGTATAGATGAGGAGGGGGCTGTGTCTGACAATTAAGAACATGCTTAATTTTCTTCTATAACTTTTTTTTGCATTTGATATTTCAAGCTATCAAGTGAACTGTTGCTTGTATTGGATAGGACACTATTTACAATTTTATTTTTATTTGTATGATGATATGTTGGCTTTTTTCCAGTAGAGAGAAGGTAGACAGCTACTACTGTGTCCTTTTCAATGATGAACATCATTCTTACGATCATGTCATCTATAGCCTGCAAAGGGCACTTGCCTGTGAACTTGGTGAAGCCCAGTTGCATACTACTGCCATAGATAAAGAGGTTAGTGCATTCTGGATATGGGAGAAAGTAACATTTTAATCATTAAGAAGTGCTACTATAGTCTCTTGATCATAGAATCTTTGTTTCTGGGATGCTGGAGCTTGAGGAGAGAGAAAGGCATATTGCAGAGTAACTGTTAATCAGCACTTGCTTCAAGAAAGTTTTTGAACTGTATTCTTATTTTTTTTTTCTTCAGGACAAAAACCCAGTTTCTTGAGAAAGGGAAGAGCTGATTTATCTGAAGTTGCTCCTTTCATGTTTGGCATAATTTCTTTACCTTTTTTTTTTTTTTTCTTCTCAGCTGAGATTAATGTTTTATTGTAATAGTACTTGTCTGGAGAATGTCAGCAATATGCATATTCACTTATATTTAATCAGAAATGTACCTTATATTTTGCAAGAGCTAGTGCTTGTTCTGGCTCAGACTTAATTTGAAAATGCTAAAACTTCAAATTAAGCAAATAAAACCAGGAAGTATTCACGAAGGAATGTGAGTGAACCTGACAATGTTACTGCTTCATTTTTCAGACTAATGTCCCATGTAAAGACCTTACACTGGTAATGTGTGGGGTTTGTTTTTTTTTTTTCCCCCCCTGGGGGGTGGGGAAAGCAAGAACAGTGTTTGGATTGTCTTAATTGCAACTATATTATTTACATCACAAAAGTATGAAACTCACGTGTTTGTACACAGACAAACTTTGTCTATAGCTCTATATGTATTTGTTGTATATTTACATATAAAACATCTTACAGATTAATAAAGGATTCTAGTATTAGTAAAAACTGTGTTTTCTTTGTGTTTCTCTTTGTTCAGGTAATGAAAGTTTAGTTGAATTTAGTTAGTATTGCCAGTCTTATGTAATTAGACGTCCTGCAGTTGCAGCTTTTTTAAAATATGTATATACATGCATGCTTATAGAGTAACTTTTAAAGGTTTCCATTATGAAGGTTCCTTTTGATTGGAACCTAAATTTTAGATCCAGAGTTGATCAGACTTCTTGTTTTACAAAGCACCTGCTACAGCACAGGACTAGGTTATATTGTTTTAATTATAACAGTTCCGCAACATACACCTACTTTCTCTATTCTCGTGTGAAATTCTGCCGTGGGGAGAACTTGTTTTGGAAGCCTGTACCTCTGATATTCTTTGACTGAAATACGAGGTCTAAGCTGGACCTTGCTTGGCTTTACTGAAAGAGCTATCAAACCCACGCTTATAATATACCCTGCTATTTCATATACAGAAGTAAGAAATAGTAGGAAAGACTGTAGAAAAGCAATTCAGGATCAGTGTACTTTGTGCTAGGAAGAAAGTTGATGTGGTTTCTATTTAAAATATTCTGCAGAAATCCCTCTCATCTGTTTTAGTGTGTACGTGAATTTTCCTTATCTAATAATATTAAGATACCCAGACTTTCCTTTGTTGTTCTGTTGTTAATTTAATTAAAATAGCTTTTTTCCTAAAGATAATGGTGTTTGATTTGCTTCTAGATGTCTAAAAGCACCGTGAGTGATGTTGGTCCCTGTTTTTCTTTTAAGTATAAAAAACATAGCAAGGATCAGGCTTGTGACATTTTGGGTTTGTTTTATATTGGTCTCATACTCAATATTTTCTTTAAACAGGGTCGTAGAGCTGTTAAGGCAGGACAGTATGCCGCTTGTCAGAAAGCAAAAGAAGAAATCAAGGTAACTTCCTAAAATATTTTTCTCATTTAAAAACCAAACAAATCAACCTCATTATTAATACTAAAGACTTACTTGTCTGCTGTACAGTCTTTAACTTAGTACTTCCATGCTTTTATAACCTGCTGTGAACTTTCTGAAAATGAATTTACCCCACCACATTTGGTATAGATAGATAGATATCCTCACAAATAGAATGTCAAACTGATTTCTTTTTTTTTTTGCTTTGGAGAAGTAATGGGTGGTGAAGACAAATATGAAAATTCATGTTATCTTTATTTTACATCTACTAATATTTACCTGACTCCTAGAGGCATTCTGAAAACGTTTCTCAACGACCACTTCATGTGGAGGTTCTGCATGCTGATGTTATGGCTCACCAGAAGTTTGCCTTGCGTCTTGGTTCTTGGCTGAACAAACTCATGAGCTATTCAAGTAAGCATAACTGATTTTTGTTATGGTAATGCCATGTCAGTATTAGAATGACTAATTCTCTTTAAAATGTCTTTAGCAGTGTTACATATGATATTCCCTTATTAAAATACTTTCACATTCGTCCGAATTAGTAAATAAATCATATGGTAGTATGGGTGCTGATATCCATCAGTATGGTTATGAATAGCAGTACTTTTCTGTTCATTCTTGCTAAAATAAATGTCTTTCCCTGCCTGAGCTCTGTCTGTTCCTCTAGAAGATTTATCTTCAATTTCAGCAACACATGCCCTACTTCAGAGACGACTTTGCTTAAAAGCTGCTCTCCCCAGTGCTGGTGGAAAGCTGCAGAACATTTCCATCAGTGAAAGCATACATCCTCTCCTTGAATTAATTCCTGCTTCAGATTTGATAGCTGTGATTAATTAGACAGGGTCAGTAAAACAAACAAGCAAAAGCCTTAATTTAAAAACTTGCCCAGCTTTTTTATTTTAAGCTTTCAAACATTGTTCTGGTGTTTGCTCATGGTTTTAAAAGACTCTTCTGAATCAATCTCATTTTTATTTCTGTTACTGGGTTTTGTCATACCTGCGTTTTGCCAAACTAAAGCCATTACAAAATTTCTTTTCACTTTACAAATATGCATAGATTAAACTCTACTCACTGCTTATCCTCCTTCTTGATAGGGTAAATCTGTTGGTCTGCTTTAGCCTCTTGTAAGCTTGGATAATAAAATTAATTTCTTACCTTCTTTTCTGAACACTTACTTTCCAGTCTTTCCTTTTGAAATATATCAGAATTTTACCTTTCTGTAATTCTTTACAATATTTTACAAATTCTAGCTTTCTGTTCTTTTCAACTTTGTATTTATTTCACTGATGGTATTTTCTTGCTGGTCCGAGTTCCTCCGGCAGTTCTTTTAATAGATACAAATTTTTGACTGTGTGGTTTATTTCAAGGTTTCTACTGAAAGTTTGATTTTTATCTACATTTTTCTTCTTAGACAATTTTTCTTATTTTCAATTTTATGAGATTTGCTCTATTTAAAACACCAACTGATAGCTAATTATTCAGCTGTTGACTCTGTGAGTATAGACAAGTCTGTGTCGGTGCCCTGGCAAATCCCCAAAATTTTAGGGTTTTAAGCATTACCTTTTTAGCTGATGAGATAAGCTAAAACTGAAAAGGAGTCTCCCATGTTGGGTGTAGCATTTTGGATTAGGGAATTGTTACAGGTTAACTGATACTTTAATGTGTTTTATGAGAGTCTTCAAGCGCAAAGATTGAAGTCTAACATTCTTGTCCTCGTCCTTCTGGATTATATGTGTAGATGCTTTAAAAGCCTGATGTTCTGTACTCAGCTTGAACTTTTTGGTGGTCTGGTGGTTCCTGTTCTTTTTCTGGTTTTGCTTCAAGTGGTAGAACACGGATCAAGAAGCAGTCAATACTATTTATTTCCAGGTTGTCAGGAACTTGATTCATGACACTCCGCTTTTCCTTTTGAAATTAGTAATGTAAGAGCTCATTTGTGAACATTAGTAACCCATAGGTGACTCTGATGTGTTGATCCCCAAAACTGCCTCAGCAAGTACTATATGTACCGATAGGTGCAAGAAAATAAAAAATAATGTTCTGAAATTCTACAAAAGACTGACTTTCAGGGCCCAAGGCAGGGACCAGCATAGACTTGCCTAGCCTGTGCATTTCTCTGCTGACAGTGAACTCTTCTTATGGATCTGCTTTGCAAAGCTGTCTAAATGCTTTTAATTTTAAAATACTCTTCTGCATTGCTGGATTTATTAGATAGAGTAGGTAGGAATAATAGGAAGAAATTAGTAAGGGGAGAGCATGTGGGAGTGTGTTCACTGAGAAAAACTTAAATAATTGAGACTCAAGTGCCTTTTTTTTCTTAAAGAACAGAATTTTGTAATTCTCATTTTGTTGGCTCATATAATTTAATTGTTGAAGTATTCTTGTACAAATGAACAGTTTTATCCCTGTAGGTGACTTTCGCCAGATCTTTTGTCAAATATGTCTCAAAGAAGAAGCTGGATCTGAAAAGCCGTGCTTCATAAGCAAGTTGATGCTATGGGATGCAAAACTTCATAAAGGTTTGTGTATCCGTGTTGCTGTGAACTGAAGAGGCAATTTTTTCATGTGTGTAACAAATGTGTAAAATTAAGTGCTATGCAGGTGCAGTTACATTTCTTAGTAGTTTTTATATTACGTGTTTTTATACAGCCTTTATTTTTACAGCTGAGATAACTGATGTTTTGGGTATATATTTGCCTCCTAAATTTTCCCTGCTTTATGTATTTTGAAGAATCTTTTCACAAGATGTAGCCTGACTATGAGTGACTTGGTGCTTACCCTGTGTTTTAAATACATACCAATAAATGTTAAAAACAAAAAAATATATTAATAACTTTGTTCATATCTTTCATAATAATTTCAAGGCTTTTAATGATTTTTTAAAAAATTATAGTTTAATAATCTGTTTCTTTTTTCCACAAAAAGCTGGATCTTCGTACAGTCTAGTGATGTGCATTGTATTGGCTCTTTACAGGGGCAAGGAAGGTTCTTCATGAACTTATCTTCACTAGTTTTTTCATGGAAATGGAATACAAAAAACTTTTTGCTGTGGAATTTGTGAAGGTAAATGGTTATTTGTTTTTTATGCTATGAATTTTTACTAGCTTTGTAAAATTTCCCCCAAACCTGAAAATTTTTCCAATATAAATAATGAATTTTCAACAAGCAGAGCTTCAACAACTAGCTCAGCCTTTATAGAGTGTATTAATTCCAATGTCATTTGTTTGTTCCTTATAATCATGTAGATATATATGCTCATTTTGAATGCGGTATTGCTAGTATTCTGTGTATCTTCTGAAATGGCAGATGTACTGCAAATGAAACTGGTCTTTCTTTTTAAAAATTAGATACAATAGTTAAGAAATATACAAAACATAAGACCAAGTGTTTTTCGTTTTAGGGTGAGACTTTTTAATCCTGATAAAGGAGACTTGACACTTCATGGTCTTCTCTGGACTGAAACAAAGCAAATGAAGACTTACATTACTCATTGTACACATCTGTTCTAGACAGCTGTGGGATAACTATCCATGCAGTTCACTGCAGGAGGAAGACTTGTTTTATAAGTTAATGTCTTTATTGATCCTTGTTTTAGATTTTTATTTTATTGGGGAAGACTGGTTGTAGGAGAAAAAATATTTTTGTTCCAGTCTGGCAGAACAGTTAAATTTGTGTTTATCTTCAGTATTAAGGCAGTGGGGCACATATTTAATTGCTTTGGTGCATTGAGTACACTGTGATGTTTTTTGTTGTTAGAACTGCTTCAATTAGAAAGGAAGAAGGACATTGAGATGTAATTCTTGCAAATTAAAAAGTAAACACTTTTAATTAACACTTTTTTAATTTAATTTCCCCAATATTTTCTTTTCCTAGTATTACAAGGCATTGCAAAAAGAGTACATCAGTGATGATCATGACAGAGTTCTCTCTGTGACAGCACTCTCAGTTCAGATGTTCACTGTACCTACTCTGGTATGTACAGCCTGTCTCTACTACAAATGTAAAATAAATTTGAGAATTGCTAGCAATGCCACCTTTGCAGACTGTCATACTTGGCAGAGAGTCTTTATGCATTGCTGGGTTGAAAATGAATGATTCTGAGTCTTGTTAAGGCCAATATGAAAGCAGGAGCTTGAGTTTGTGTGAAGATTCATTACAGAAGATAGAGGGAAAGCAAGTAAGTGGAAGTTTGAGGCAGCATTGTTCTCTGCATTAACTTTCTGTGTTCATTTACTGTTCATCTTTACCTTCTTATGTACTTCCCCTTGGGGGAGGGGGCAAAAAAATGGTTAAATGTCTTATTGTGTGGCTGAAATACATTAAGTCCTGGGGGGAGGATTATCTGTTTCTTGCCTGAAATCCTAATGTAGGAGTCCTTTTTATATGTGATCTTTCTAGAAAAAATAGCATGTCTGTTACGTTGAAGCTGTCAGAGTGAACAAACATGCTAAGTTGATAGAAATTGTGTTCATACATAATAAATACTATGGGAGGTTTTGTAGCTTGCTTAAAATGATTTCTAATCAAAAATACTGGGTTCAAAGGGAAAATTACTTTGACAGTTGGCTTCAACAAAAATAGGAAGAAAAATTTTTCATTTTCTTCTTGCAGGCCCGACATCTTATTGAAGAGCAAAATGTAATCACCACCATTACAGAGACACTCCTAGAAGTGCTTCCAGAGTACCTAGACAAAAATGACAAGTTCAACTTCCAAGGTTATAGTCAGGACAAACTGAACCGAGTATATGCAGTAATATATGACCTCAGGTAAGTGTAAATCTGAGAAGCTAGAGTGATTTTTAGAAAACTGGCAGTAGGATGAGCTGTTTCAATTCAGGAATCTGATGATAAAACTGCTTTAGAAACAAACCCAAACCCTTCAAAAAACACACATGAAACTTCAATGTTTTATTTTTCAGTGGAAACCTAAAATTTTCAAATACCAAAATTATATTATAGAAAGACAATTTTTGATGATTTTCACTGATATCATTCCATATAACAATTATATTAATAAACAAAATATATCTGCTGTAAGACAGTATGGGAAATTTGGCTTCTACTCATTATCATTCTGGGGAAGCTGCATAATCCTCATCTGCATAGTATTTTGCACTCTTGCAGGTCCTGAATTACTCTAATAAACTGAATAATGTAAAAGCAAACCACCCCAAATACCTTGGAATTAAAAACTCTGTTAATTTCAAATGATGGAGTTGCACCAAGCAACTCTAGTGTTTGGTGAAAATTTTAAGAGGAGTTTGAGATGGGGAGGGTGATGTAATGTGATGATGCTGTTGATTCTTTTAATACAAAGAACACTTTAAATACAAGTATAAGCAGAAGAGAAGGCTGAGCAAAAGATGATAATGTTTTCTTTGTGGACAGGTATGTCTTAGTCAGCAAGCCTACGTTATGGACAGACCGTCTGAGGGAGCGGTTTTTAGACGGATTTGTTTCTTTCCTAAGGATTCTAACTTGCATGCAGGTACAACACATTTAAATAATTTCTTTCTAATATGCTGTTATAAATATATTACAGCACTTCTGTTTGCTCATCTTTTTATCCATAGCAATACTGTGGATATAAACAGGCAATTAAGGTGGTTAATTCTTCAATCTCTTTCTTGGGTAGGTGAAAAAGTAATGTTTACTTTATAGAAGTAATGTTCATTAATTTTAGCTACATGTATCTGAACAACCTATATTTTACCGTTTGCTTATGGGATTTTGTGTTTTAAGCCTGTGATCACGGATTTAGCTTGAGTATTTTGTGGCATCTCTGTTTCAGGGAATGGAGGAGATAAAAAGACAGATTGGTCAGCACATTGAGGTGGATCCTGACTGGGAAGCAGCTATTGCTATACAGATGCAACTCAAGAACATTCTTTTGATGTTCCAGGAGTGGTGTGCCTGTGATGTAAGTATATCAGTTGTCTGGGATTCTTACATGTGTGCCTTTTGTGAATATTCCTGGGTGCTTTTTGAGTAGCAGCTTTTTTAGAAAGCTCACTATTGTTCAATACAGATCTCCACAAAAATGAGTCTGAAAGAATTAATCTGTGGTGTGGCAAAGAGAGAAGGTATCTCAGAAGAATATAATCTTCTAGCTGACAAAGCTGCAAAGGGTGTCAGGCAAATCATAAAGAGAAAATACTTCTCATAATTCAAGATTTTGAGAATTAGGTTCATGGTATCACTGTCGAGTTTTAAGGTTTTGAAGCACATGGTGTTAATTTTTAACTGCGAAAGTGGACTGCAGAAACTTTGTGCTAATTGGGTAATCGCACTGTAAGTAATTTTAATCAGTGCTGAAGCTCATCCCTGTGCTGGGGGAAGGGGGGAAATTGTGCAATTTATTAACTTAAAGATATTTTGAAGTGGGTCTCTTTTTTTTTTTTTTTCTTTTTTTTTTCTCAGTAGGGAGAGAAAGGAAGAACTACAGCAGTTCAGGAGCTTCTTGATCCAATTTGGGGTGCAAACTATGCAAAATAATAAAATATTGCAGCTTAAATAAGCACATAGATTTTAGACCATTTGACAGAGCAGCTTTTTTGAACAGAAGCATATTCTCAGTTAGCTTTAGTGGATGCTCCACTGCTCCAGTCCAGTAGTACTTCTCAGTATTAAGAAGCAGAGTAGTAATTATATTGTAGATTTTTAGTAACTGCTTATGCTGTCAGAAAAAACAGGTGAGGAATTTAGCATATATATATGTTTTTTAAATATAACTCTATGCATTTATTTTAAATTCTAGGAAGAGCTGTTGCTCAGGGCCTACAGGGAATGTCATAAAGCTGTTATGAGGTGCAGCACAAATGGCCGCTCACGGGAAAAGACAGTGTTTCACTTGTGTGGCCATACCCTGGAGAGCAGACCTTACAGAGTGTCTGCAGATCCTGTCAGCATACATTTACCGCTGTCTAGGACTCTTGCTGGTAGGTGATGTGTTTTGTTTTGATTGCTATTTGAATTACATTTATCATCCATCTCTCTCTTTACTCTGGAAAGCATTTAGATTAAGTGCTTCACTAAGCCAAGCTCTGACTTTCTGACATTCTCATGATCAGGCAACCCTGTTCCCCAGATGTCCCACTAACAGAAAGTTTTTCTCAAAAAACCATTTGCCATGGAGGTTGGAGGACATTTTTTTTAAACGGGAGAGATAAGAAAGGCAAGAAGGAAAAGTTTCATGTTTTAATGAGATTTTTCAGTTTTCTCTGGACTATTTCAATTTATGTGGTTCTGTTTCTATTTCTACCTGTTCTGCCTAAATGAATGTTCATTATTACTGTATCTTGAATTTATTTTCCAGCCACATATGTCTTAGGACTGTTAAAATGCTCCTCCTAAAAGACATGTGTTTGCAGCATGCCAGGACAGATTTTCAGTCAGAATACAAAGGACCACAGCAGTGGGTGATTGCCACTTTCTCTAGAATACAAATGAAATCATATGCTATTATTAAGCTGTAGATTCTTTATCACATCATTGATACCAAGATACCATCTGTTAAGCCTTGTAGTCTTGAAATTCAGTTATTACTGACATATGATTTAAATGTGAAATTAAAATTTTGCTAATACTATTTAGCACCTCAATTGAAATGGTTTTAATGAATTCATTAAATGAATAGATTTATTAACAAAATAATGGACTGTAAGACTGGTAAGAACTGTTGTGATAACACAATAGATCTTCTATTTAAAAAAAAAAAAAAAAGAAAAAAAAAAGAGGGGGGGAAGTAACAAGTCTGTCCTAAATAAACTTGTACTATTTTTCTGTAATTCTCTGAGTTGTAGATGATTTAGCTAACATTTAGAATGGGTTGGAGGAGTAACTTTACTTTTGATTTACTTTCTAATTTTTTTTCCTATTGGTTTTGTAGGTCTTCATGTACGATTAAGCAAGACTGGAACCATCTCAAGATTACATGAGTTTGTTTCTCCTGTAAGATTTTTTTTCTTTTTTTTTTCTTTTCTTTTCTTTATTTTTTTATTTCCAAACACGTCTTGTGTTTTATACCCTGGGAAGGAAAAAGCCTAAAATTATATCCTCTAAATTTCATGGCACACACACACAACCTATTTTGCAGCTGTCAATGTGTCTTTGTTCATTAGGACTTACACTTTTTAAATCACTGACAGATTTATTCTTGCTTGATTTTTTTTTTTCTTCTTTTTTTTAAATTCTAGGAAGAATTTCAAGTGGAGCTGCTAGTAGAATATCCTTTGCGATGTCTTGTCTTGGTTGCTCAGGTGGCTGCAGAGATGTGGAGAAGGAATGGGCTCTCCTTGATAAGTCAGGTACTCCCTACAACATTCAGTAGTGAGTTGGTCCTAATGGTGTATGCAAGTGTCTCTCAGTAATGCTCCCAACAGTGGTTTCATCCAGTGCAGAAAGAGGTCATGGGGGTCACCTACACTAAATAGAAAGGTTTCTAGGTGGGAGTTTTATTGATGGTTTTATTTCCAGCTTCATCAATGGCTTGCCTCCCTGTATTAGACAAGTATTTTCATCTCTCTTATGACTGTTCCTGACTGTGAAATGGTATTAATGTTACTGACATCTACTGTAAGCTACTTTCAGATCTGATAAAGAAATCGCTGCATAAGTACTGTTGCTTATAACATAAAGTTGGAAGAATCTCTTCATGTATGGTAATCACTATATGCAAAAGTTAAACTATTCTAATCTCATACTAAACTTTTGAGTGCCACATAACTGGACATAATAAACATTTTGTAATACTTACAGGCTTTTTTGTTGAAAGAGTAATGGTAAAAGGAAGAGTCTATCCTTAAGTACTTGTATTTTGCCTGCTTTGACTTCCCCCCCACCCCTGGCAGAAATTTTCTGTGTTTACCTTTTGCAGGACCGTTTGGTGAAATCAAAGTAAATATTGGTAGCCCCTGTAGAATTGTCTCTGAGAACTGAGGTAGGAGAAGGAGGATGTTTTGACTTTAGTCAGTAGCAGCTATGAGAAATAGGTTGTCTTGGAAAGGGGTATGAAGAAGTACAGCATCGACTTTCTTTGGATAGGTGAAAAAACATTTTTCACTTCCATCAAAGTACACGTGTGTTTTGACAGAAACACAAGACTTTCCCGTACTCAATAAAGGTGCTCTACAGTTTAAAAAAGCCTCAGACATTAACTGGTGCACATTTGATAGTATTGCTTCTCTACTTAAATTTTGTTTTCCTATTCCTCAGGTGTTCTATTACCAAGATGTTAAATGCAGAGAAGAGATGTATGATAAAGACATCATCATGCTCCAGGTATAATGTTCTGAATCATTGCTTGCTTGACTCATAAAACTTTCATGGAATTTCTTTAATTTCCTAATTAAATTCGTATGTCTTTAAAATTTTTTCTTGGTAAAAGAGTATTTTTCATAATTAATGAAGAACTGTCATAGTAACTGATGTTCATATTAGTTTGGTTTTTTTGATAGATAGGTGCATCTCTTATGGATCCAAACCAGTTCCTCCTCCTGATACTGCAGAGATATGAGCTTGCTGATGCTTTCAAAAAGATAAAGCCCACCAAAGATCAGGTAAGTAGCAAGTATTTCTGCTGATTAATTTGGGGTTTTTGAGTTTATGGAACACAAATAAGAAAAAATAGCTACTATTGATAACTGCATTTTTATGCCCACACTAAAAGTCAGTCAACACAGGACCTAGTGGTCAGATAAATGATTATTTGGAATTTGTAGAGGCTTACTCAAAATTAGCAAGCAGGTTTTGCCCTCTTTGACCTTTATTTCATAGGGCATCTACCAAAATCCACGTAAATGACTTCTCTCTAAAATTTCTGTCTCTTAAGCCTATTATGTGTTCTTATTTTGGCTGGGAGCGTCTTGGATTGTTGTGCTGCTTCTTGAGGCTTGAACTTTCATGTAACGCTTCATTTGGGATACTTTTTTAGCTGTTGTTTCTTTTCCTGCATATGAATCTTGCACTTCAGTTGCAGAATAATATCTCCTCTACAAGCACAGGCATTTTTTCCAGCTTGTTAGAATGGAGGTTTCTTCTTACAGTACAGCGCTTCAGCAAAGTAGTGTGTCTGAAAGCTGAGCTCAGTGTCACTTGACAGATTTTTTTCCTGCTTTTTTTTTTTAAAAAAACCTGTTTTTTCTGATTCTTATAGGATTTGATCAAACAATGTAATGTGTTAATAGAAGAGATGCTACAGATTCTCATCTATGTTGTGGGTAAGTTTCATTCTGTCTGTTGTTGTTGTAATGGATTATTACAGTTTGACAAAACAGGCTTGATGACTTTCCTTAATATAGATGGTATGCAGAGGATACTGGAGAATGCCTGTTTTAAAATGGTTCAGTAACACAAGTATTTGTCAACCAGAAGCAATAGGGGTTGCATAGTGAAAAAAGTGGTTAGATAACTTCGTAATTGGCTATTAAAGTAGAATATGAAGAGAAACTTTATCTCTGCCCATTTTGTTAGGAAGCTAGGCTAAAAAACATTTTTCCTCTCAGACACTTAGGATAGGATTCTGGCAAATGCAAACTTATACTATGAAATATCCCAGCTTTATCTCTGCAAAATTCAGAATTGCTTTATAACTATCATATTTGCCCTTCTTCCCCTTTTGATTCATTCTGGTAGGGGAAAGATATGTGCCTGGAGTGAGTAATGTGACAAAAGAAGATGTTACCATAAGAGAAATCATCCATCTGTTATGTATTGAACCAATGGCTCACAGTGCAATTACCAAGTCATTGCCTGAAAATGTGAGTCCTGGTTTATTTACTTTTTTCTTAATTTATTTTTCCTTGTTTTATGTCTCTTTCTTCTTTATTTGCCATATCTTTATATGGAAGCATTTTATTTCTGATATAAAGCTCAAATGTTGGTTTCAGGATTACAAAATAGCATGACAAAGGGACTGATGTGAAAGTAAATGTCATGGAATCAAGTATGGCCTAATCTGAAAAGGCTTGTATGGGGATTGTGCTTTTTGATGAAGAGGTGGAATTTTTTAGAATATTCAGCTGTGATCTTCCTAGATTAAAAAATACAAGTTTTAAATTTATTTTCTTTCGGCCCTGTAGGACCATTCAACTGGATTCCATTCTGCCCTGTGTACCATCAATAAATTTGATCCTTTAATTTTGATCACTTAGAATCATAGAATCGTTTAGGTTGGAAAAGGCCTTTAAG